CCCCAAAACCCCAAAACCCCAAAACCCCATGAAAATGAATACAAAAAATATTAGAATTAAATATGTTATTAAATGGGTAAATAGAATTAAGTTATATTGATATTAGAATTCCTCGGCTAATTTGAATAGAATAATTGCTCTCCTTGAAGCAGGCGAGCTTTTCTCTTTATTCATCGTCTGATATATGAATAGCTGTACTGAATAATATATCAGAGATTCCAAAAGATATTGAAATAGAACATTCTTCACTGAATGTCTCTTTCGAGATCATCAAGTTGTTAATCGCCGATGTTCAACTTGATGCTTTCTTCAGTCTATTGCTCTCTCATATACATGGTCTTGCATTAAATAGCTGAGCATTCCCATCTTGACATTCCAGTAAATTTAAGGTCGTCCTTCTTATCATAGTTATTATACTTTTGATTATATAAGTGTGAATCAGTATAAAAGACACCTTCTTATTTACTTTGAGACTATATAAAGTGGGTATTTCCAAAATTATCTGTTACTGGAATAAAGCTATCCTCCTCTTAAACCTTCTCGTCTATTTCATCAAGACTGTTGTCTTTGATGTACTTCATTATAGAATTATATGTAGTCTAGTTGTTATCTTTGAATACAGATATATTTTTCCTTTTGGATACGTCTAATTGAATGTCTGATATGTAAGGTGAGACTTGCTTAGATAAATCAATGTCTTTAAGTATCTGAGTCACCTTTTCATCTGGTCGTTTCCTAACCATGAATTTTATACCAGCCACAATTACTTTGCCATGCTGCTTTTAGAGTACAGAGTTTTAGTATTCTATGTTTTTGAATTTTCTATTTATTAGGTATCCGATTGTGATGAAAGCAACGGTAAGACCGATAACAACAGGGAAGACAACTGAGAAGTTAGAATCCATAATGAGGATATTTATTGTAATATTTACAATTATAATAAACTAAAAACAGCAGATAATTTTATTTGTTAGACTTTAACTTTAGATTTGCTAAGTTTATATTTCTTTTATATAAATCCATCCACTCATTTGAAGAAATCATATGTTAATTTTGAATCCCGGGGTTTTGGGGTTTTGGGGTTTTGGGG